CTCATCAAGGCTTAGGCTATCACACACAAAAGGAGGCCACCAATTTGGGTTTTAAAATACCAAATTGAGGAAATAATATTTTTCTTAAGGAAGAAAAATTAAATCGGCCCAGAAATGTTAAGGGAGTTATTTCAGAAGGTGACCTGCATAGCTGGGCTAAACAATACCCACAACACGTGACTGAGAGTTGTGGGAGGGGATTCAGGACAGAGAAAGGAGCCAAGCGGCCACTGTAATTCAACAGCTGCCTTAAGCGCAAACAAAGTACCAATTTTAATAAAGTGAAAGGAATCCCCAGGCAGAACAGGACAAACATAGACGAAGAGGCTTGATCCTTCAATGAATGTGTGCATTTGGCAGTTACCATAAAGGTCACCACAGGCCCGGTTACGAGATAAGGGCTGTGTGTGGGAAACCATGTCCATCTGAATAAAAGAGGTGCACAGCCACAAAGGTCCACAGGTGGGTGACCCTCACACACCACTGCCATGCTGAATCCCAGAGAAAAACAAAGGACACACTTACTTTTATGTGTGGTTTTGCCATAAATTTAACAATATCCCCCCATAAGAATTGGTGTTCATCTATTGGTTGCTAAGAAGTGAGATACCATGTGGGGAACTCCTACCATGGAGGAAGACTACTAGGTCTCAAAACCCAAATCCCTACTTCATGAGGGGGCATACATCACCAGGACTGGGTTCTAGTTAGCTGTCTATGTAAGTGAGCCACGGAAACCTCCCTGAAGCCAGCCTGTTAGATTAGCAGAAATATTCCAACAATGAATAGGGTATCAGTAAGATTCTTAACTTTTGCTTTTAATATCTTTCCTTGTTAAGGACGCTGACATTCACCCCTTAAAGGTAAGCTGGTATAAAATGGTTTGTTCACTACACACCTTTCTTGCCAACTCTGAACTGGCTACAAGAAGGAAAACTTCTTTCCCACAGAAACTTACATTCTCACAGTAGGAAGGTATGACACAGGGTGAAGATGAGTCTTCTGCTGCCCACCCGCTCTTGCTCTTCTCCTAAGTTGTCAAGTGTAAGTTCATCCACAAGTCACAGAAGGCCTGACACAATGGACTAATACACTGGACAAACCCATATAAACTCAACTGTAGAATGCAGCTTATCAAACCACTCTTTTTGTTTTGTTTTGTTTTGTTTTTTGTTTTTCGAGACAGGGTTTCTCTGTGTAGTTTTGCGCCTTTCCTGGAGCTCACTTGGTAGCCCAGGCTGGCCTCGAACTCACAGAGATCCGCCTGGCTCTGCCTCCCGAGTGCTGGGATTAAAGGCGTGCGCCACCAACGCCCGGTCTCAAACCACTCTTTTAAACTATGAATAAGGCTTTGCTATGAGGCTGAGTCAAGAGCAAGATGATGTTACAAAGATGAGACAACTGCAGAGAACAGAAAATAAGACAAAAGAACCTGCAACCGACAGTTTGTATCTAAAATGTACTCCAAAGGTCTACATGTTGGATGCAGGTTTGGGCCTCAGCTTGGTACAACTGGTGAGTGGTAGAGCTTTAAAGAGGTGGTGTCTACTGGAAGGAAGCAAAGTAATCAGGGGTGTGCTACTGACTGGGAGAGTAGGACCCCGATTCCTTCCTGTCTCTCTGTGTCTTTGCTTCTGGGGTGCTATAAGGTAAGCAGGCCTGCTCTACCCCCTTGATCTTTTTATAATGTATTTTGCCATCTCAGGCCTAAGTTCACAGAGCCAAGGTGGACTGAAACATTTGTAATTGAACCAAAATAAACTTTCTGTCCCTCTAAGTGGATTGCCTGGAATATTTTGTAACAATGATGCAAAGCCAACTAACTAACACTGGCCACTGAGAAGTTACAGGAAAGTTTTAATAAGTTTGACAAGAAGAACCTGACAGAATACAATTCATATTGCAGGATCAACCCATACAGGAAGACATTTTACCTCACATTTGATCAAAAGAAACTGGGGGTGGAAAGAAATTATTTCCCAGGATTTACAAAGATGTTAATAGAATCATTCTGTCACTGTGACAGTGGCAGTGGCTCAGCTACAGAGAGGATTTTTTTTTCTTCTACACAAGCAGCATCCCATAAAACCTGAGGAGACACAGAATCTAAACGATGCACTGGTATAACATATTTTGGTAATTATCCTTAGATGAGAAAACAGAGGGAAGAAATTGCCTCCGAGTGAATATGCATTTGCGTGAAGATGACACTGTAGATGCAGATGTCACTCTTTTGGAAGTTTGATTTACTCATCCAAAAGTGTCACAAAAATGGCAGTTTTCCTTCACTAGACTTCAAGAGTTACTATATCTTCAGTTTCACCTTGCCTTAGTGAGAAGCAATAAGCTCTCTCTCTTCTATTAATAATCCCAAGCTTTTTAAATACCAACTTTATATGTATTACACACACACACACACACACACACACACACACACACCACACACACACATGCTAGCTCGCCTATAAAGGCCTTCTCAAGCCACTGTGCTAAAAATAAACAATGTTATCACTGGGACCATCAGGTACACAATTAAGTATTTACTGAGGGAAATGGTTTGCCTTCTAACCAATAGCCTAAAGTCACTTAGTATGGACTGAGCTGGTTAAAGCCGACAGCCTTCTGATCAACGCTGGACCTCTCTACATCTGTGTGTTTAGAAAGAAGTTTCCACTTCTTTTGGGACTTTTAAGATGCACACTATTACCAACTTTGTGGGAGCCCATTCTCGGGTTCCTCATGGCTTTACCCAGCAGGTCTGCATAGAGGATGATTAGGACCAAGGGACTGAGTGCAGGTGTCTGAGATGGTCTGCACTTGGCTGTGCTGGGGGGGGGTCTGTATGTCAAGTTGTTCTGATTGATCAATAAAAACCCTGGGGCAGAGACAGTCAGAACCCGTTGGAATAGGTTCCAGGCCCTCTCGAGGCTATCCTTTATTTTCTATCTGTTTATCTCTGCAAGATTCTCTGCAATAAATCCTTCTATCTAATATTTCCTGCTGCTTACACTCAAGAAAACTCTGGGAAGCTGTGGGGTTGGTGGGTAAACACCCCACACAACTTGAAATTTTTTTTAGATCATTACTTAGAATAGAAATGCATTATACCAATACTGCTTTATTTAAACACACACACACACACACACACACACACACACACACACACACACACACACCTTGAAATAATTTACTCCCCAGTCTACAGTACACTTTCCTATTGTACTAATTACATGCTAGTTCTGACTCCACTGACTGAATGTCCTCCCAATAACTGATGTAATTTACATAAAAACTGAGATCTACTTAACAGTGTTAGTTGATCAGTGTATCATTTGTTTCTGTATCTAATAGAGCAGTTTACTGAGTGTTCATAGAGTCATGTCCTGGCTCTCCTGCCAAGCATTGGAGATGCAGAGGTAAATAAGATACTCTTAAGGTGAGAAGGGGAGCCACACTATCAGAGAATTTTTAGGAGAAATAAATGTGACACTGTTCTCAATTATGACATTCAGGTGTCTTCATTCAGGAGCTTTCACACGGTATCACTTCTAGATGTGGAACAATGCCAGGAGCTTTAGGAGTCAACTGCATGTAATCCATCCATACCTTCCAGGTGCTAAAACTGAGTTCTCATTATGACTGTGAGCACACGTGGCCCCTTAGAATTTAAACGATGAACCTAGAAGTATCGCCATAATTCATTCTCAGTAGTTCTGGGTTCAACTTCTCCTTCCTGTCCTTCAAAAGGCCTCAATCCTTCACATCATTTTTCTATAAGGTTAAGATTTCATGAGTCATCTTGCCTGCCAACAAGATTCACATCAGACCCCAGGATGGTCAAGACTGCAGATAATAACATAGGGACACCCTGATGTCAGCCTCCATGACCGCTTACTTCTATTTCAGAAAGAAAACATCTGTGAATGTATTTCTCTAAATCTTCACAGCCAAGTCTTTCCATGGTGGGTCTGACTGTAAATAAATGGAGGAAAACCTAAATACTTAATTACAGGGCCGTATATATGACACAAACCACAGGTGTCCCAGAAGAATACCCACATACCGGTGTCATCTGGCACTGGATTACCGCATGGCCCTCATGTGTAAAAATGACCAAGTGATGATTCTGAAATCAGGCTACAGTGTACTTTAACGTCTCTGAAGTGTCTTCATAGCACTTCCATAGAGAAGGAAGGAGACATGACATGAAGGTTAAAGCCATAATTAAATTACCACCGAGAAAGACTGAAATAGTATGGTCTGAAGACAAAATCCAGTGTGTAGAGGACACAAACCTTGGCTGTGCTGATCCATCGGGCTCTGGGGAGGGCCCATTCCCGGGTGTGGTGGGCGCATGCTGGTGCCCTTCATGGATCCACAGTGGACGTCGTCTACAATCCCCTTGTCATGTATCACATCCATGGGCTGAAACACATAAAGGGCATCCGTTAGACACCTCTTTAAGGTAGGGTATTTCTAACAAGACTAGCAAAAGATATCTCCAGTCTTTAATGACATGACACAACCATTTACTATCTATTCTATAGTCTTATATTTATATACTTCACAGATAAAAACAATAGTAAGAAAGATTATACCAATAGGATCAGCAAAACCATCTCTAAATCAAAAAAACGAGGCTTTAAAAACTGTTGAATTTCATTCTTTGGCCAATGTTACAATCTGTTTTTAACTTGCCAATTAAAAATAATAATAATAAAGTACCATTCACAGGGTAGACAAATATTACTCTCTCATACCTCCGTAAATAGTCTTGAAACCTGCTACATACTGAACTTATCCTGGAGTCCAAGTGAAGGCTACATGAAATGGCTGAGGTGACCTATTTTTCTGGTAATTTTCTTTACTGGATGAATGAACTAAGGAAAGTTAAAAAGTTGAACCAGAAGGTTCCATGGCAGTTGGGAAGGAGAAGAACATACGGGGCCAAGAAGCAAAGGGGGGTGAGTACTGAAAAGGAGGGTGTGAAAGCAGGGGGTGGGGTGGGGTACGCTGCAGAGGGAGGAAACGGGAGAGGCTGAAGGCACAAGCTGGAAATGAGTCCCAAGCACAGAGGCTGGACATGGGACCTGAGGCCCAGAGCAGGAGAGACAGACAATACAGCGCTATTGAACTGATGTTAATCCAATCCAGAATCAGGCAATGGAGCATGTGTTTGGAAAAGGAAAAGTCTATTCTTCCCCCAAACTGTAATAGCAATTTTCAAAACAGCCTGGAAGGAACATTTCCAAGAGTTTATAAAAACCAAATGACTTCAAGCAAGAAAGTATGAGTGTTTGCAGTTTTGGAGAAAAGAAAGTTAATTTCTGCAGAGTCAAAAGCACGCACTTGAAAAGAGGGAAATTTTTACCATAAAGAGGATGTTCAGAAGAAAAATGGGAAGAATCTGGTATAAAGAGTGTCACTGAGTCTGGTAAGTAGTAATAATAGAGAGGAAATCAAAGCCATGCAGCAGATGTATTTAGGCCACTTGTTTACTTATTTTCAGTGATGTTGAAAAGCGAAAAGCTGAAGCTCGGAGGGAGATGGAGGAGGAAGACAAGGAACCCAGCCGGCTGAAAAAAAAATGAAGAAAGTGACGGCATCTGGCCAGCAGGTGTGCGCTCCCTGAGTTCACCCAGGTCCTCTGGCAGAGAGCTAGCTGAGGGGCTGCAAGGGAGGGAGAGCCGGATGGCAAGATCTGCAAGGCTCAAAAGGGAAAACTGCCAAGCTCACAGGCAAGACAAACACACCACAAAAAGGAGTGCCCAGGAGTGTAGAAAATATGAGACAAAAGCCATGGGCCAGAAGAGATGACAACCAATAAAACTGCCCCAAAGCAAAGCAGGCAGGACCAACCCTCACCCACACACTTAATTTTTAAAAGCTTCGATCACAAAGGTTAACTAAACATGTACTCCACATTTTTCCTTCATTTGGAAGGTGGTAAGGCCTTTACCCTCAGGTCATCCCAAGGTCCTGTAACACACGGACAGAGTCTACAAGGGCAGGGCAGATCTAGAGTATATCCCAAAGTTAACACGGTATGAGATGATTCAATGACTTCAGTACGTCAAGATGTCACCCCATAATACGCTAGGGAAAACAAGAGGCGTTAGTTCTATAGATATTTGACAAGACAAACATGGATTTTTTTTTTTAAGTAGGGTAGCCAGGCATGACAACACAGACTTGTAATCCCAGCAGGCCAGAGATGGGAGGAGAACGGGAGTTCAAGGCCATTCAGGGTTACATAGTGATGTCAAGGCCACCACGAGTTACATGAGACTTTATCACAAACCAACAACGAAAAGAGGGGTATGGGAAGTTGGGGATACTACAGAAATACATTATTAAATCAAAAGAGGATGTTTTAGAGTAATAAATAGAGGCAGTATGGTCCTGTGATTAGAAAAAGACCCACACCTGTCTATGCATACCAGCGCTGATACTGTACCTTTACCAAATATGGAAAAAGTAAGGTGTGGAATGCACATACACCTGTTTCCTTGGGTAATTAGCTCATTTATGTTGGTACTGTTCCACTTTTCACAATAAGCACATACTACTTTTCTGATCTGGAAATCATCAAATAACTTTTTTTAAAAAAAGCAAACCTTCCCTTTGAGGTTCTAACACCCTACACCTTGAAAATGACCTGAAGTCCTATAACGTGAGGGAAGACCCACCCCTTCCCCTGAAGATGCTTTTGTTTCAAGTAAGTGACTTCTAGCACTTGTCTACTGTGATGGATAACTTTGTGCACCACCTCAACTAGGCCACAGGTCTCCAGATACATGGTAAGCATTATGTCTGGGTGTGTCTTCGAGGGGTTTCCAGATGAGGTTAGCATTTGAATGTCAACTGAAGCAAGCAGAGTACCCTGGCCTGGGGAGCAGGCATCATCCCAAATTCACACAGAGCCTGAAGACAGCAAAAGCTGAAGGTCAGGAGCAGGTCTGTTTTCTCCTGACCTAGGCTGCTAGTTGCTCTCTGGACCTTCCACTAGAGCTTACAGGATTCACTTTTCTGATTCCTACTGGCTCCTCTGGGTCGCCAGCCTGCTGACTGAAAACTGTGACTTCTCCAGAGGCCAACTCCTTAGGATAAATCTCTCATACGCCACTGGTTCTGTTTCTCCAGAGGACCCGGATATATGTGCTGCATGGACAAGGGGCAGCCCCACACGTGATATCATCCACATGAGTTTAAAGCCTGCACTTGTCTCATGAGGCAAGACCTTCAGGTAATATATGATGCCCTTATTGGTTTTCTTTGCTTTGCTAACCTTGAAAGTAAATAGTCAAAGAGGAACTTTCTTTCTCAAAAAGGCTGTCTTTAGCATCTCCTCGAAGGGCTCAATGCCAAAAGGTACTAATGTGACCATCCTCACAGCAAATATCTCATAAAGAAAGGATCGCTAGGAACTATAATAGAAATGAACAAGCAGATCTTCTGAACGAGAACAAGGCTGCTTCACAGAGACTGAGAATTCCCAAGATCCCCCACTGCAGCTCACTCGCCACACTGGAGACTGAACTGAGACTCTGGAGCCAATCTGAGCTATCTACTTATCTCAAGAAACCAATCAAGGAAAAATTCCCTAGAAAATATTTAATTTTAATAAAGTCTTTTGAAAATATACTTTCTAAAGGTTTTATTTGTGTATGTGTGTAAGTGTCTGCGCACACACGCATCATGCATGCCCCACGTGAGGGTGCCTGAGGAGTCCAGAAAAGGAGGCCAAGTCATTGGAGCTGCAGTTAAAGGTGAGTGTGAGCTGCCCAATGTCAGTACTGCAAGAACAGCAAGCAATCTTAACCACCGATACATCTCTCCAGGCCCTGAAATATCTTTCGAAAAAGACTTTGACCTTTCACTCTGAAAGATCTCGCCTTATCAAATAAATTTCAAGATTTTTAGGGAAGAACAATTTTCAATATATTGATTTATGGATGATTAAGTTATATGAGAAATGGAGGGGGCAGTCTTATTTACTAATGTATTTACTCACCAAGACAAAATACCTTTAACCCACTAATCCCCAAATTTGCTCACATCGTATGGTACACCCTCGTATTAAAAAAAAAAAAATACATCTTTATTACTGGGCTATCTGTAACGGTGAAAATACAGCAAAGGCAGTGTGTTTTACATAGTTTGGGGAGGGTTGTTTTTGCTTCTTAAGACAGACTCTCCTTACATAGTCCAGGTTGGCCTCTTGCTTCAATCTCCCAAGTACTGGGATTACAGGAATGTTTTTAATAACATGCAAATTAACACAGATTTCTAGCTAGATCCTCATGTTAACAACAGGAGAAAGCAGGAAGAGTCATCAGGAATGCTACCCAGCCATGCCTAGGAAGACACACGAAGTGGGAGAGAGCTCACACAACCTTACCTTGTGCATCTGATGCATGCCTTCCTGGGGGAAGTCTGCAGAGCCCATTGTTGACATAGGATGGGAGACACTGGGGGGTCCAGGACTGGGTCCCATCATGCTGTGAACGGAACCTGGGGATGGTCCTGGTCCTGGACTAGGCCCCAGAATTGGTCCAGGCGAGGGTCCAGGCCCTGGCGAGGGCCCAGGATGGGGCATTGCAGCTGGGTCTGTGGGTGTGGACATCTACTTCTCCTGGCTCTGCCAGTCAGCAGAGTGACACTAAGCTGGAGAAGGGGGTAGAAAAAAAAAAAAGAAAGGAATGTTTTAAACATGATGTTAAGATCAAATACAACAGTTGTTAGAATTTGATGGTGCCATTTCTATAACTAACATCAAACAGAATTACCCTGTCTCCTCCAGATGTTTGAATGAATGTGATATATATCCCTGGGCTCCAGTCTTTATGAAGACCACTTGTTTTAAAAAACACATACTCTAAGTGATTCCCCAGGAACATAAATCATCCAGGATACAGAGAGACTCAGTGGAGCAACTGAAATGTAACCCATAAGCAGAATCTAAACAAGTCTGAAATTTATGACTAAACACAACAGACACTCTCCATTATAGACTGGCTTAGACACCTTAGAAGTCATTAAGCACAAACCCCACCCACCCCCCAACCCCAAAATCACTGGAATAGAAAATCCTTTACAAATAAGTACCCAGCCAAGACTCATTTTCATAAGCAACAGGCAATAAAAACTTCACAAAGAATTCTAGATGTCTAAAGGGGGTTGAGGGGGGGAGATACAACTTCATCAATTGATAATAAAAAGAGAAGTCCCAATTACAGAAAAAGAAGAAAGCAAGCCAGGTGGTGGTGGCGTGCCTTTCACACCAACACTTGGGAGGCAGAGGCAGGCTGGTCTCTGTGAGTTTGAGGCCAGCCTGGTCTACAGAGCAAGTTCCAGGACAGCCAGGGCTACACAGAGAAACCCTGTCTTGAAAAAAAAAAAACAAACAAACAAACAAAGAAAAGAAAAAAAAAGAAAAAGAAGAAAGAAGCTATGGGGATCATACAAGCACAGGTTCAAACACACTCAGACACAATTACTAGGTGAGTTCTTGATGCTTCTTGGAGTCAGGTAACACAGTACACGCCAAAACATAAACAACAAACCCCAAACTACCAGTCTGAATGCCTTATCTACCCACCACATCTACTGGACCGGAAGTAATCAAAATGGACAAAGACAACTTAGCCTCCTCCCAGACAAGTCACAGAACCCCAACCACTTGGACTGTTATGGCTCATATGGTTTGTGCTAGGCCCCTGGTCAAGGACGCCAGAGGGTAGCGGCCTGTGTTTAGGGATGGACATTCTGTTTCTCCAGACTTAACTGAGCACTACTCTGTCACCCAGTTGCCAACCCTTCCTGCCATTCCCCCACTAGGAAATGACTGAGTCACTGCACCTTGGATAACTAATGAGTCAAAATGAGTAAATCAGTTTTCCAAATTCCCATAGAGATCAACGATCCTAGCAACACAGCTGAATGCCACTATAATAATCCTTATTCCATGTTCAGGAGTTGTCCAGCAGGCACACAGGGACAGGAGGGAAATATTTTTGTTGTCAACCTCACAGAACACAGAATGGCACCCCCCTAACCCCCCCCAAGTGACTCCTTTACCTACCATGTAATAGCAGGGGTATAATTAGACTAGCAGCCTAGTCATCCAGAACAGAGCTCCTTCACAGTGAAGAGGGAGGTGAAGAAAAGTATAAAAGGCCACATCAGCTCCATTCCTGTTCACTTACTGAATCTCCGGACAGCAAGGCCCACGAAGGCAGAGCCTTGCTCTTCGATCCTGCATCCCCAGCACCTTCAATCTGTATGCATTACCGGCTCAGAAAATACCCGATAATAGTCGGGCATGGCACTTCACACACACACACACACACACACACACACACACAAGCACTTGGATACCGAGGATGGACCACTGAGAAATCTAGGCCAGCCTGGGCTACAGAGCAAGACCGAAGCACAACAGGAACACAAACAAAAACTGGGTGAATAAACAGCAAGCAAAATGCCAAGGGCAAGTAGATTCAATTAATTTTCTAAAACAAAACTAAAGAATAACCAGCATTGGAGGTATGTAAATAAAGAAATTTTTAAAGGATAGGCAAAAACATAAGCCACTCTGGTGAACAAACTGAAGTTAAAATGAGAACTCACAATGTAAGTACTTCCTCAAACAGAGAAGGGTCTGGGGTGAATTATAACCTTAAATACCCTACGAGCCAAGTGTTATTTATTTTTTGTGATTAACAAAGCAGGTGGAAATAACTTCTGTGTTTGCCTTCCACCTACCTCTCTCACAAACACAAACATGTTCGGTCAGCATTTTAAACTTAGGAAGCTGACGTCAATTCACGGGCATTACAAGTTATAATGTTCTGCCATGTATATCAACAAACTGATACACCCCTTCATTTTTTAGTGAATTAAAGGAAATTACTTAGTTCCTGTTATGGTTTGTTGTGAAGCCGGCTTCAGTAGGTATTTTGGTAATATAGCACAAGTGTGAACACTGAAGACACAAACTCTCAGATTAGCCTGATAGTCCTACTGCTTCTGTTTTACACTTTTGATATGTATAAATCCACGACTGCATTCTGCACGGATTAGTGCTTTCATTTGGAATTTCTGAGATGTTGTAAAACACACAACTCCAAACAAATACTCCTCTTTTTTACGGAAACTAAAACTTCCGTATGAGGAAAAGTATATTTGGATGGAAATGGGAGGCTTTGGAGCACATTAAGTGGAATGTTAATATAGGAACATGTTACATGTAAACTACATAATAAGAGATTCCGCAGACTCATGGAGGTAATGAGCGTATAGGTCTAAGAGAAGCAGCATAGTTTAACCCTGGGTCATGTGACTAGGGGATGGTAAAGATCTAGACTCTCAGAACTCGAAGGTGATGATGGCTAACCTCAATAGGAATCCAGAGATCTGATTTCTGTCTTAAGTCTATACCCTGGAGCACTGGAAAGGTCCTTTGCTCGATGGGGTCCCTTGGCTCTCTCTAGGCTTAGGATGGGAATATCTCAAGTGACCTCCCTATCTATCTATCTATGACTTTGCATCTACCATCGTCCAGAGGAACTCAAAGTCCTCATCTGATCCTGTGCTTGACAGAGCTCCTGAATGGGCTTCTATACTAAAACCAGGATTGTCCATCGCTCAAGTCCAGACAGGAAGATCTCACAAAGCTAAGGCCAGTAGTCCTAGGCTTATTCTTCTTCTACATTTCTGCTGGCAACTCTAGTCTTTAGTTCAAATGCACGACGGCACCATCTTCTATTATTATAAAGACACTTAGGGCTCCAAATTCCAGAGGCACAAATCTCAAGGCAGAGAGCATGTTATCACCAAGTCAGCAATGGGGGGGCTTCAAGGCTAGCCTGGCCAACTCCTCTTCCCCCTTGTGTCCATTCAAATCCTTGCCCCTTTCATCCTTCTTCAAAGCACTAGATAGTGGAGATAAGGGGTGTGGGGGGGCCGCTGGGCTAGGAGCACAGTGGAAGAGGAGCAGAGCTCAGTCTGGGTGACAGTTTGACCAAGTCATGAAACCCACAGTCTATTTCCATTTTCTGCTGGGGACAGGGTTTTTTACATTGTCTCAGAAGGGAACAACGATGTGGCTAATACACAGAAGGGAATACTCCTGACGGAGAGCACAGCTGCTGCCCATACACAGGCCGTGCAGCCCCTCCCCTCCCTGCCACGTTACCCTCTGCCTCAGACCGGGGCTCCCTCAGGGCCAGGCCACTGTGTTCTTGGCAAGAATTCTTCAGCTGTACACCCTGTCTCCTTCACCCAGACATTCTTGACTTTACAGCTGGGGGAGTGTGCCCTTTTAAAAGTAAAAGGCCATGGCTGCACTTCCCACTACTCCAAATCCCACAGCCATCAACCCAAGTCTCCCCCTCTTCCTAGCCCTCTCCTGGTGAAAGGCTGGGCACCTCCATCTGCATAGTGAAAGGAGTTCAACTTCACGGAATTACGACCCAGATGAAACTGAAGACTCCAGTGGAATTGCAATCCAGGAAATTCCAAGGACCTCCATGTGGGTAGTAGGATTTAAGCACACCTAATGTGCTTCATAATCATTCCGATCCCTTGAATTAAG